AGAAATACGTGCATGTTGGTAGCCTTCAACTGTATAGAAATGCGTACATGTTGGTAGCCTTCAAGTTTACAGAAATGCGTGCATGTCGGTAGCCTCAAGTTTAAAGAAATGCGTGCATGTTGGTATTCTTCAAGTTTACAGAAATGCATGCATGTTTGTAGCCTTCAACTTTAAAGAAATGCATGCATGTTGGTAGTCTTCAAGTTTACAGAAATGCGTGCATGTAGTAGCCTTCAAGTTTATAGAAATGCGTGCATGTTGGTAGCCTTCAACTTTATAGAAATGCTACATGTTGGTAGCCTTCAAGTTTACAGAAATGCGTGCATATCGGTAGCCTTCAAGTTTAAAGAAATGCGTGCATGTTGGTAGCCTTCAAGTTTATAGAAATGCGTGCATGTTGGTAGCCTTCAACTTTATAGAAATGCGTGCATGTTGGTAGCCTTCAACTTTATAGAAATGCGTACATGTTGGTAGCCTTTAATATTACAGAAATGCGTGCATGTTGGGAGCCTTTAAGTTTACAGAAATGCGTGCATGTTGGTAGCCTTTAAGTTTATAGAAATGCGTACATGTTGGTAGCCTTCAAGTTACAGAAATGAGTGCATGTTAGTATTCTTCAAGTTTATAGAAATGCGTGCATGTTGGTAGCCTTCTGTTTATAGAAATGCGCATCTTGTAGCCATCAAGTTTATAAAAATGCGTACATGTTGGTAGCCTTCAAGTTTATAGAAATGCGTGCATGTTGGTAGCCTTCAAGTTTACAGAAATGCATGCAGTAGCCTTCAAGTTTATAGAAATGCGTGCATGTTGGTAGCCTTCAAGTTTATAGAAATGCGGGCATGTTGGTAGCCTTCAAGTTTATAGAAATGAGTGCATGTTAGTAGGCTTCAAGTTTATAGAAATGCGCGCATGTTGGTAGCCTTCAACTTTATAGAAATGCGTACATGTTGGTAGCCTTCAAGTTTACAGAAATGCGTGCATGTCGGTAGCCTTCAAGTTTAAAGACATGCGTGCATGTTGGTAGCCTTCAAGCTTATAGAAATGCGTGCATGTTGGAAGCCTTCAACTTTATAGAAATGCGTGCATGTTGGTAGCCTTCAACTTTATAGAAATGCGTACATGTTGGTAGCCTTTAATATTACAGAAATGCATGCATGTTGGTAGCCTTCAAGTTTACAGAAATGCGTGCATGTTGGTAGCCTTCAAGTTTATAGAAATGCGTACATGTTGGTAGTCTTCAAGTTTATAGAAATGCGTGCATGTTGGTAGCCTTCGTTTATAGAAATGCGTGCATTTTGTAGCCTGTTTATAGAAATGCGCATGTTGGTAGCCTTCAAGTTTATAGAAATGCGTGCATGTTGGTATTCTTGAAGTTTATAGAAATGCGTGCATGTTGGTAGCCTTGAAGTTTATAGAAATGCGTGCATGTTGGTAGCCTTCAAGTTTATAGAAATGCGTGCATGTTGGTAGCCTTCTAAGTTTATAGAAATGCGTGCATGTTGGTAGCCTTCAAGTTTACAGAAATGCCATGTTGGTAGCCTTCAAGTTTATAGAAATGCGTGCATGTTGGTAGCCTTCAAGTTTTAGAAATGTGTGCATGTTGGTAGCCTTCAATTTTATAGAAATGCGTGTATTGTTTAATAACTATATTGTTCAATGACTGTATTGTTTAATTACTGTATTGTTCAATAACTGTGTTCTTTAAAGACTGTATTGTTTGATGACTGTATTGTTTAATGACTGTATTGTTTCATGACTATATTGTTCAATGACTGTATTGTTTAATGACTGTATTGTTTAATGACTGTGTTGTTTAATGGCTTTATTGTTCAATGACTTTCTTGTTTTTTGACAGTATTGTTTAATGACTATATTGTTCAATGACTGTATTGTTTAATGATTGTATTGTTCAATGAATGTATTGTTTAATGAATGTATTGTTTAATGACTGTATTTTTTAATGACTGTATTGTTCAATAGCTGTATTGTTTAATGAATGTATTGTTCAATGACTGTATATTGTTTCATGACTGTATTGTTCAATGAATGTATTGTTTAATGAATGTATTGTTTAATGACTGTATTGTTTAATGACTATATTGTTCAATGACTGTATTGTTTCATGACTATATTGTTCAATGAATGTATTGTTCAATGACTGTATATTGTTTCATGACTGTATTGTTCAATGACTGTATTGTTTAATGACTGTATTGTTCAATGAATGTATTGTTTAATGAATGTATTGTTTAATGACTGTATTGTTTAATGACTGTATTGTTCAATAGCTGTATTGTTCAATGAATGTATTGTTCAATGACTGTATTGTTTAATGACTGTGTTGTTTAATGACTTTATTGTTCAATGACTTTCTTGTTTCATGACAGTATTGTTTAATGACTGTATTGTTTAATGACTGTATTGTTTAATGAATGTATTGTTTAATGAATGTATTGTTTAATGAATGTATTGTTTAATGACAGTATTGTTTAATGACTATATTGTTCAATGACTGTATTGTTTCATGACTATATTGTTCAATGAATGTATTGTTTAATGACTGTATTGTTTAATGACTGTATTGTTCAATGACTGTATTGTTCAATGACTGTACTGTTCAATGACTGTATTGTTTAATGACTGTGTTGTTTAATGACTTTATTGTTCAATGACTTTCTTGTTTCATGACAGTATTGTTTAATGACTATATTGTTCAATGACTGTATTGTTTTATGACTGTATTGTTCAATGAATGTATTGTTTAATGAATGTATTGTTTAATGACTGTATTGTTTAATGACTGTATTGTTCAATAGCTGTATTGTTCAATGAATGTATTGTTCAATGACTGTATATTGTTTCATGACTGTATTGTTCAATGAATGTATTGTTTAATGACTATATTGTTTAATGACTGTATTGTTTAATGACTGTATTGTTCAATGAATGTATTGTTTAATGAATGTATTGTTTAATGAATGTATTGTTTAATGACAGTATTGTTTAATGACTGTATTGTTCAATGACTGTATTGTTTCATGACTATATTGTTCAATGAATGTATTGTTTAATGACTGTATTGTTTAATGACTGTATTGTTCAATGACTGTATTGTTCAATGACTGTATTGTTCAATGACTGTATTGTTTAATGACTGTGTTGTTTAATGACTTTATTGTTCAATGACTTTCTTGTTTCATGACAGTATTGTTTAATGACTATATTGTTCAATGACTGTATTGTTTAATGACTGTATTGTTCAAAGAATGTATTGTTTAATGAATGTATTGTTTAATGACTGTATATTGTGTCATGACTGTATTGTTCAATGAATGTATTGTTTAATGAATGGTTTGTTTAATGAATGTATTGTTTAATGAGAGTATTGTTTAATGACTATATTCTTCAATGACTGTATTGTTTCATGACTATATTGTTCAATGAATGTATTGTTCAATGACTGTATTGTTCAATGACTGTATTGTTCAATGACTGTATTGTTTAATGACTGTGTTGTTTAATGACTTTCTTGTTTCATGACAGTATTGTTTAATGACTATATTGTTCAATGACTGTATTGTTTAATGACTGTATTGTTCAATGAATGTATTGTTTAATGAATGTATTGTTTAATGACTGTATTTTTTAATGACTGTATTGTTCAATAGCTGTATTGTTCAATGAATGTATTGTTCAATGACTGTATATTGTTTCATGACTGTATTGTTCAATGAATGTATTGTTTAATGACTGTATTGTTTAATGACTGTATTGTTTAATGACTGTATTGTTCAATGAATGTATTGTTTAATGAATGTATTGTTTAATGAATGTATTGTTTAATGACAGTATTGTTTAATGACTATATTGTTCAATGACTGTATTGTTTCATGACTATATTGTTCAATGAATGTATTGTTTAATGACTGTATTGTTTAATGACTGTATTGTTCAATGACTGTATTGTTCAATGACTGTATTGTTCAATGACTGTATTGTTTAATGACTGTGTTGTTTAATGACTTTATTGTTCAATGACTTTCTTGTTTCATGACAGTATTGTTTATTGACTGTATTATTTAATGACTGTATTGTTTAATGAATGTATTGTTTAATGAATGTATTGTTTAATGAATGTATTGTTTAATGACAGTATTGTTTAATGACTATATTGTTCAACGACTGTATTGTTTCATGACTATATTGTTCAATGAATGTATTGTTTAATGACTGTATTGTTTAATGACTGTATTGTTCAATGACTGTATTGTTCAATGACTGTATTGTTCAATGACTGTATTGTTTAATGACTGTGTTGTTTAATGACTTTATTGTTCAATGACTGTCTTGTTTCATGACAGTATTGTTTAATGACTATATTGTTCAATGACTGTATTGTTTTATGACTGTATTGTTCAATGAATGTATTGTTTAATGAATGTATTGTTTAATGACTGTATTGTTTAATGACTGTATTGTTCAATAGCTGTATTGTTCAATGAATGTATTGTTCAATGACTGTATATTGTTTCATGACTGTATTGTTCAATGAATGTATTGTTTAGTGACTATATTGTTTAATGACTGTATTGTTTAATGACTGTATTGTTCAATGAATGTATTGTTTAATGAATGTATTGTTTAATGAATGTATTGTTTAATGACAGTATTGTTTAATGACTATATTGTTCAATGACTGTATTGTTTCATGACTATATTGTTCAATGAATGTATTGTTTAATGACTGTATTGTTTAATGACTGTATTGTTCAATGACTATATTGTTTAATGACTGTATTGTTTAATGACTGTATTGTTCAATGAATGTATTGTTTAATGAATGTATTGTTTAATGAATGTATTGTTTAATGACAGTATTGTTTAATGACTATATTGTTCAATGACTGTATTGTTTAATGACTGTATTGTTCAATGAATGTATTGTTTAATGAATGTATTGTTTAATGACTGTATTGTTTAATGATATCCTGCCTCGCTGCAACTTTTATACATTTTGAGAAGGTTTAGTAAAATGAAGATAGTATCTTTGCTTTGTTTTTTAGTTTCAATTTCTCCATACTTTCGTCTTTAGAACGGCTACCCAGTGGATTCAAGCTTTGTTCACATATCCTATCTTCCGCTTCCTCACATGTACGAGAGACTTGTTATGGTAACTGAAAAATATTTTACCTCCTGGTTTAAGTTGTTCTTTTAAGCTATAGATTTTTGTACTTCGCCGTCGTCATTTGTAGATGATTATTTGCTGTGCTGGAGGTCGAGCTGGATTCTTTCGTGGTGATGTGAAACTTCTTTTGGATGACATCTAGTTATTGAGGTAATTCTCTTGAAATTCATTCACTTGTTTTGGATCACTGTAAATCATAAAATATGATGTGTGATTAATTTCTTAGGCCGACATTCTTCGCTTCAGTTCCTCGTTTGTTAAACCGTCTTTACGATAAGGTTATTCAATGTAGACAATCGTTGTTTGTTTGTGTGAAAGATTTGTTGTGCTCATTTGTCTGTGATTTTAATTCTGCAGGTTATATCAAATATTGAAAGTAGCAGTGGCTTAAAAAAATGGCTGTTTTACAAGGCTTTTGAGTCGAAGAGAGCGGACTTGAAAAAGTATTCAATAGTGAATGAAATAGCTTTAAGACCATTATGAAAATCTAAATAAATTTATTTTCACTGTAGAGGTCAAATCTCCAAAAATACTTTGTGGGACAAAATAGTTTTTCACAAAATTCAGGTACGAAACGGACAGGCTGTTACGTCACCGGTGACTATCTGTTACGTCACCAATGAGGGGCATTTACTTCACTGGTGGTTGCTTGCTTCTTCACAGTTTATCACGTTTCAAGGATATTGAGATCAGTGATTTTCCTTATATTTCCCGCTAATTGTTTTACTCTCACCTGGCCAATGAATTGTAAATTACATTTCGCTGCACCGGGCACTCGCCGTCGTTCTTTCGAGGGACTGGTATTGAAACTAACTGACAACTTTCTTCTTTAAAGACAATTTTAGGTGGAAATGTAAATGTCATTCTCACAGGTGCTGCTCCTATTGATGGTAAAGTTTTAGAGTTTTTAAGAGTCGTTCTTGGATGTTTGGTTCGTATTGATTTATGACATCACGTTTCAACTGTGTTACCATGGTTACATCTTATTTCTCTTTGTATTAAGATTTTTTAAGGTTATGGTCAGACTGAGTCTACAGCACTTGTTTCTCTGACAAATAAACTTGATCTTTCACCAGGTACTACGTATTTCCGTATGAACACTTCTGAGGTACTTCATTTAAAATGTAATATTGTAAACGTTAAGAAAGTCAGTATTAAGACATCAAGACCTAAGTAAAGTTGCCTGGGGCCTGGGTCTGAATAGTTCATTTGAAGTGTTTTGTCATGTTCTATTTATGTACAATGAACTATAATATCCTAGAAAATGAGCTAAAAAACGAACACTTAATGTTCATCTCTATTATTAGATTGTCACAATTACCTATAAACCCCATTCATATTATCTACGTAGGTACCAGAAATGAACTATTTTACTTCAAACAATCAAGGCGAAGTAACGAATCTTGTTTTTTATTTTCTACTTTGCTAATGTAATGTTACGATTGTGCATTGAAAGAATGATTTTGTTTTAAGATATGTGTCTATGGTCCAAATGTCTTCAAGGGATATCTTAAAATCCTGACAAAACATCTGAAATGTTAGATGATGATGGCTGGTTGCATACAGGTGATGTAGGAGAATGGAAACAGGTCAGTTGAAGTTACATAGTAGCAAAGGATGTAAAATAATGTTTTTTTGTTGTTATCGAAATTAATGTGGGAAAAATGACGTTAACTGGTAGTTAATTTTTGCTAAGACATTATCTGTAAGCGAATTCAGGAAGATGATAACTAAAAAACAGACATTTTGACTTCAAGAATTTTTACATCGAATACGAAGCAAGCTCCTTTGAAAAATTTATTATAATTTATTATTATAATATATTAATATTAATTTTATTTCTCTAAGTAGGAAGCGATAGGAAAAATATTTTGTAATCATGAACATTTTTTTTTTATTATCGTACTTTCATGTAAATATAGTGTACATTATCTTTTACTTAATGATTAAGTATGTGGTGAGGTGCTCATAATGTTTCTGTTTTTGTTTTATAGAATGGAACGCTTAAAATAATTGGTCGAAAAAAATGTATTTTCAAGTTGTGCAGGTTTATAAAACATAAATGATAGCAACCATTATATATTTTCGTTTTTTTTATTTATCTTATTTGTGATTGTGTCTTTTAGGGCGAATTTATTTCTCCTGATAAAATTGAAAATGTTTACATCAAATGTCCTTTCGTCGCTCAAGCTTTTGTACACGGTTCTAGCACAGAATAGATATATACGTACTTCCATCATCCGTTGAATCTTGTCGCATTGAGCAAACTCAAGAAATCAAGATTTATGGACGTATACGAAAAATAGATTAAACGCTTAATTCTAATTACTGGTGTAATACCTTATCTCGTTTCATCTAGTTGAAGTCTACCGTTTTCCCAATAATAGGTTTGGGATGTCTCTATGGATTGTGGTACAGCTCTTCATCGTATTGGTGGCTCAATTTCACAAGTTATGTGGTCACCTTGCGATACTAAAGTATTTGTTTCAACTGAATCAAGTTTAATACGGTATTGAAATATATTTGTATTGTATTACTATACGACCTTAAAATTCTGGTCACTTTGTGCGTATTATTGTCAAGTTTTAGCTGCAGATAAATGGTAAATTTTAATATGTTAAGGAGGCTCATTTTAGATTCAAAGTGATTTACAGCAATACGATTTGCTGTAAAGTATTTTAAATTCGAATCTGACCTACTTTGGATTCGCTACTGACTCTGTTTTCCTAACTTTATCGTTTTATTTTACGTTTAGTAATTGTAGTAGTGTGGAAATGTATTTTTCTGTGTTGCATTTTTTTCGTATATAGGATCTGGGAAACTCAAAAATGGACTTGTGAGAAATGGACAAATTTAGCCTCCAAATGTCAGGTACGTTGATGAGTGTGGATATCAGCCAAAGTACAAAAACGAATAAATGCAAAAGGTTTGTGCGATTATCTGAAGAAGAGTCGAAGCAACGAATTGAAAGCGCAATTACAAAAAAGACGAAAGTATTTTGCTTACCATAATTGTTTTTTCTCTACTAGTAAACAAAAATCGACTTTGTTTTACGTGAGTAATTTTTTGTCTGAAATAGATTGCACATCTCAAAGCCTTCCTTTCCAAAAATTTGTATTCCTACATTTCACGTTATGTTATAAAGACACTTTTCATGTCTTTTTTGTTCTCATTGCTTTCATATTTATAGGCTGCATGCTGGAGTCCGGATGGAAGATTTCTGGTATTTTCTGTGTTAGAGAGGAAAAGTCTCTATTATCTTAAATTTTGTGAACCAGTTGGTAAGTTTAGATATTTGGTACTTTTATAAATTTGTTAAATTAACTTTTAGTTGTAGGAAGACGTGAAGCTAACTTATTTTTTCTACCAATTCTCTTGGTTATAAAACAAACCTGAACATTGCTATTCAAGCGTCAAGCTGACAGAGTCAAATTAAATTCAAACAAACTTTTCTTCTGCTGTAATGAGACCTAGACAGGACTTCTGCAACTAACATAACGCTGCACGTAGTTAGTGTGAGAGCACACATTTTGCTGCTGTAATGAGACCTAGACAGGACTTCTGCAACTAACATAACGCTGCACGTAGTTAGTGTGAGAGCACACATTTTGCTGCTGTAATGAGACCTAGACAGGACTTCTACAACTAACATAACGCTGCACGTAGTTAGTGTGAGAGCACACTTTTCTTCTGCTGTAATGAGACCTAGACAGGACTTCTGCAACTAACATAACGCTGCACGTAGTTAGTGTGAGAGCACACATTTGCTGCTGTAATGAGACCTAGACAGGACTTCTGCAACTAACATAACGCTGCACGTAGTTAGTGTGAGAGCACACTTTTCTTCTGCTGTAATGAGACCTAGACAGGACTTCTGCGACTAACATAACGCTGCACGTAGTTAGTGTGAGAGCACACATTTTGCTGCTGTAATGAGACCTAGACAAGACTTCTACAACTAACATAACGCTGCACGTAGTTAGTGTGAGAGCACACTTTTCTTCTGCTGTATTGAGACCTAGACAGGACTTCTGCAACTAACATAACGCTGCACGTAGTTAGTGTGAGAGCACACATTTTGCTGCTGTAATGAGACCTAGACAGGACTTCTGCAACTAACATAACGCTGCACGTAGTTAGTGTGAGAGGACACATTTTGCTGCTGTAATGAGACCTAGACAGGACTTCTACAACTAACATAACGCTGCACGTAGTTAGTGTGAGAGCACACATTTTGATTTATAGACCTCCTGAAAATATTGTGTTGTGTTAAAGCTTCCTTGCATTGAGATTCCTACAACACATTGTCCTTTTGATTGTAATTTATTCTCAAAAACACGTTTGTTATTTTTCTTATTTGTCTTAATTATCTCACGTTAGAAAGAACAGGCATGGAAGATTTCAACATTGGTGGTGCGAAAATGGCAGTTGAATGTGCTGATCTTACAGAATACTCTTGGGAGGTGAATGACACTATAGTTAGGTATAAAAAAGCTGACCTATGTTGCATTTCTATATCGTTTTATTTTGTCATTTCCCCCAAAGCATTGATTGAACGATACGAAATGAATTGATCTTTGTCATCAGACTTTTATCTTTTATTTTAAAATTTAAAATGCGACTGGAATGCATGACTTGACAGTTCTTGTGTTTTCTCCATTAACATTTTTATGTACTTCCTGTTGCTTTCTTACTTTTATTGTTCTTGATTTAATTATAGAGTTGGTGGCTTTGTAAGTAGTATGACATGGGACCCAACTGGTGAAAGACTTGCTTTATTACTTAAAGGTAATTACGTTTCTATTTACGCTGTCTACTGGTCATGTGATATAAATATTTGGTGTTCACCCACTGTAAAAACAGTAAATTTCTAAAGAAATGAATAATGCTTATGATCTGACATGTGCAGAATGTTTACACGACTGCTTAAGGTGAATAAACTTTTTCATTTTTCCAAAGATGAAAATGGAAAAGCTCAAGATTATATACCAGTGTTCAAAACAAATATTGAAAATGTACTTGATTTGATTCCCAGGTGAGGATACTGTCAAATGCATATAAATACTTAAATTTTTTGTACATTTCTCTAACCTATTTTCTTGCATGCATTATATATGTATAGTAGCTACAGAACCATGTTCTATATGTACTACATATGTATATAATGCCGTTTTCCGCAGCTTAGTATTTTTCCGAATTACAACGGCTTTCAACTTTTAATCTACACGGTGTATCAAAAAAACTGAACAGAAAGAAAAACGTCATTCAAGTTATCAGCGCGAAACATCTGCCAAAACCTTAGCCTGCGTGCAGGCTCTACCTTCTCCCGCCCTGATTTTCTCTCCCCCGTAGAGACTGCACGCAGGCTGGAGTAGGTAGTTGGAATTTCAATGATTCATCTGACTGAAAATTTTTTTTAAATAATAACCATTTTCAACCATTAACCACCAAAAATTTTTCCAATATTGCTCGCTGGCGACTTTAGCGACGTTTTCCAAACTATTCAGTTTCTTTATATACCCTGAACATGGTGTTAAAAAAAAGTAAAAGTAGACTCTACAAAAAAGTTTTTTAAAACAAGACGCGCGCGGACTAAGCAAAAAATTTTAGTTATCCTAAGTACTTTAACGTTCTCTGGTACAGCTGGCAATGAAATTTCTGAAAATGTCAGATTTTCTACCAGTGAAAGAACGTTGTTAAAGTCCTTCAAAACAGGGTTTGCGCACGAAAATACTCATCGAAATAGTAATTTCATCAACATGAGTCAAACTTTGGACTGTGTTATACAAGCTATTAAAAATTCAAGCAATTTGGGGCAAGCACTGAACAACGCAGGACCTTTAAAACCTAGGATATTTTTGCGGTAATGCCATTTAAAACCTACTTTTATTACATGAAAGCCTATTCATCTTTACCATTTATAAATTATACAATCCATTCATTACTTGCTTGTTTTATTGCAATGGCAAAAAAGACAACATTATAGAAATCAAAAATCAAAAAATATATACGCTCAAAAACTGCCAATTTTTTATACATCTCCTCATCTACATACGTTAGAAGGTATGTGGATTTTGTAAAAGATTTATACCAGATTTCTTGCGAAGTTAAGTATTGTGTTTGTGAACCACGTATAAAGGCGTCGTATGGTTTTGGACAGAATAACATATCATCACTTGGTATTTTATAAAACTATCATTTTGAATTGATATATTTTTACCCAAGCGAAGATTTAATTCTTCGGTGTTATGCTTCAAAATAAAGATCTCGCGGCAACTTTGTTCCAAAATGGTTATAAAAAGGTGACGATCGAGAATGGTTGATCTATAAAAAAATGACCATAGTGAATGGTTGGCCCGTAAAAAAGGTGACCATAGAAAATCATTGGCCTAAAATAAATGTGACCATAGAGAATGGTTGGCCTGTAAAGAAGATGACAATAGAGAATGGTTGGTCTGTAAAAAACGTGACCACAAAAAGTGGTTAGCCTATAAAAAAGATGACCATAGACAATGGTTGGCTTATAAAAAAAATGACCATAGAATATGGCTGCCGTAAAAACTTGATCTGCCTCGTAATATGAGGTATTAGATCTTATAAAGTGATTACTGACAACAAAAATGTATACCAGATAAATCTTTGACATCTTAGAAAGACAGATAAAAAATACTTTTATGAGAAATATAACCCATACAGCAAATTGTGATCAGTTCATAGACAAGACTAAAGAAAATGTGACCAATAAAATTGACAGGCAACTCATATACTTATTAATATTTCTAGCGAACGTTAGAACATAGAATAATTTTCAAGTTCAGACGTTTGATTGTAAACTGAGAATGTTATCATGACGTTTTATAAAAAGAAAGAAACAAGAAAAAATGGCAATATTTAACATAAACTCATTTGTTATACAAAGAAAAAGTTTGTTGCATGATGCATGATAACAACTCTTGTGTTCTTACATTCAATGATAAATCTACTTCCTTTAACATGCCTATCTTCACTATTTTCTACGTACGTGTTGAAATGTTGTTGTTCTTACATTCAATGATAAATGTACTTCCTTTAACATGCCTATCTTCACTATTTTCTACGTACGTGTTGAAATGTTGTTGTTCTTACATTCAATGATAAATGTACTTCTTTTTAACATGCCTATCTTCACTATTTTCTACGTACGTGTTGAAATGTTGTGAAAATCCTTCCGTTATAGTGGTTTGATTCATGGACTACCAAGCAATGGACAACCTCAGCTAATATCTTTTCAAAAAAACTTCACGCAAGGAGCTCTATTGTCTGTTGTAAGTGTGTACATATCGTACGTTATTGTTACTAAGATTATATACATTTCATTTATGCTCCTCAAAAGAAATAGTGAGTTTTGTCTTCCGAGAGACTCAATGTTTCCCAAGACGAAGTCGAGTACAGTGTTTCGTTCTATAGGGACAAAGATCATAGATTTCGACAGCTTTTTAATGAAAAAATCTTTTAGGGAGATTCGCCCCGGCAAAATTTCGTTGCAAAATGCTATAAGGTGACCACGCCATTTTTGGTCGACTTCCAAGTGTTTTCTGAATCCTTTTTTCTATTAATAGTTGAATTTTGTCGCTTAGTAAGCTCAAGTTTTTTTTTAGTTTTCGGCTCCACGGCTGTTTTTTTTTTGTTGTTGTGATATTAAAATAAGCGGGCAATAATTTTTTCCATGAGGAGATACATTACATATATTTTAAGTCGCATGACTACGAATGAAGCAAAGTTAGAGTGATAATAATTTCATCTTAATTACAAGTATATGATATTATTATTTGTGACTACGAATGAAGCAAAGTTAGAGTGATAATAATTTCATTTAAAAATGGAAAGAAAGTACGAACTGTCCGAGCCATGCAGCGTTTAGCTGCATTTACCACAGAATTGAACGTTGTCAATGTGTACAGATCCAGATTTTGGTGTCGCCTTGAATAAGAGCTGCAAAGAAACGACGATATATTCAGCCACTATTGAACACACAAAAAGTATCACGTCTGCGTAAAATATTTATCACTATTGCTTCTAACAGCCAAAACTTACATGATATTTCTGAGAAAGTCAAGCGATGGTTTACTGAGCCAATCAAAACATTTAAAACTTACATGATATTTCTGAGATGCTCTGAAATACATCCTCGCCTTTGTCCATGATCCACGTGTATCGGTCAAATGGAGTTTAAGTGATTTTACGTAGTACTTAGTGTTGGTGACTTGGAAAACTTTAAGTGATCTTCTGAATGCAAAATCAAATTAATTTGCCTGTTACTTTTGAAATAATCTGATTATATCCGCGTGTGAAAAAGTACATTTCAACGTAAGATCACATTACGTAACTGCCACTTCCGTTTGTAAATAATTATATAAAAGTTTCACAGCTTGCTTTGTAAACTATTACCCTGATGATGTCTTTTGAATAAAGATGAAATATTACACACACACTGTTGTCTACACTCTTCTATCATCTTGAATATCAAGAAAACGAAATGTTTGTTTTCGGAATCTGTTTTTATTTTGTTCTATTTAATAAAGACACTGGGACTGGAG